ATTGGGCATTTCTGAGAATTTCAAATGAAAGAAACTAAGAAAGTAATTAATTAAAAGAAAAAACTTTAGCAAAGGAACAGGTAAAGGAAATGCTTGAAAAAAAACAAAAAATCATGACCTCAGGAAAGCAGCTGGACACAATAGTGTACCCTCCAAACAAACCACACTATTATGTATCAGGGTTGCTCATGGACTACCCCCTTGAAAAATTGTTTGAGTGATGCTTTTTAATTGGGTTTTAATAAGGCATCATATATTTTGGGAAACTGGGCATTTCTGAGAATTTCAAATGAAAGAAACTAAGAAAGTAATTAATTAATTAAAAGAAAAAACTTTAGCAAAGGAAAAGGTAAAGGAAATGATTGAAAAAATCAAAAAATCATGACCTCAGGAAGCAGCAGGACACAATAGTGTACCCTCAAACAAACCACACTATTGTGTATCAGGGTTGCTCATGGACTACCCCCTTGAAAAATTGTTTGGGTGATGTTTTTTAATTGGGTTTTAATAAGGCATCATATATTTTGGGAAACTGATCATTTCTGAGAATTTCAAATGAAAGAAACTAAGAAAGGAATTAATTGAAAGGAAAACGCTTTAGCTAGCAAAAGAAAAGGTAAAGGAAATGATTGAAAAAATCAAAAAAAAAACATAACCTCAGGAAGCAGCTGGACACAATAGTGTACCCCCAAACAAACCACACTATTGTGTATCAGGGTTGCTCATGGACTACACCCTTGAAAAATTGTTTGAGTGATGTTTTTTAATTGGGTTTTAATAAGGCATCATATATTTTGGGAAACTGGTCATTTCTGAGAATTTCAAATGAAAGAAACTAAGAAAGAAATTAATTGAAAGGAAAAACTTTAGCTAGCAAAGGAAAAGGTAAAGGAAATGATTGAAAAAAACAAAAAAAATCATGACCTCAGGAAAGCAGCTGGACACAATAGTGTACCCTCCAAACAAACCACACTATTGTGTATCAGGGTTGCTCATGGACTACCCCCTTGAAAAATTGTTTGAGTGATGTTTTTTAATTGGGTTTTAATAAGGCATCATATATTTTGGGAAACTGGGCATTTCTGAGAATTTCAAATGAAAGAAACTAAGAAAGTAATTAAGTAATTAAAAGAAAAAAACTTTAGCAAAGGACAAGGTAAAGGAAATGATTGAAAAAAACAAAAAATCATGACCTCAGGAAAGCAGCTGGACACAATAGTGTACCCTCCAAACAAACCACACTATTATGTATCAGGGTTGCTCATGGACTACCCCCTTGAAAAATTGTTTGAGTGTTTTTTTTAATTGGGTTTTAATAAGGCATCATATATTTTGGGACACTGAGCATTTCTGAGAATATCAAATGAAAGAAACTAAGAAAGCAATTAATTAATTAAAAGGAAAAAACTTTAGCAAAGGAAAAGGTAAAGGAAATGATTGCAAAAAAAACAAAATCACCTCAGGAAGCAGCTGGACACAATAGTGTACCTTCCAAACAAACCACACTATTGTGTATCAGGGTTGCTCATGGACTACCCTCTTGAAAAATTGTTTGAGTGATGTTTTTTAATTGGGTTTTAATAAGGCATCATATATTTTGGGAAACTGGGCATTTCTGAGAATATCAAATGAAAGAAACTAAGAAGTAATTAATTAATTAAAAGGAAAAAACTTTAGCAAAGGAAAAGGTAAAGGAAATGATTGCAAAAAAAAAAAAATCACCTCAGGAAGCAGCTGGACACAATAGTGTACCCTCCAAACAAACCACACTATTGTGTATCAGGGTTGCTCATGGACTACCCCCTTGAAAAATTGTTTGAGTGATGTTTTTTAATTGGGTTTTAATAAGGCATCATATATTTTGGGAAACTGGGCATTTCTGAGAATTTCAAATGAAAGAAACTAAGAAAGTAATTAAGTAATTAAAAGAAAAAACTTTAGCAAAGGAAAAGGTAAAGGAAATGATTGAAAAAATCAAAAAATCATGACCTCAGGAAAGCAGCTGGACACAATAGTGTACCCTCCAAACAAACCACACTATTGTGTATCAGGGTTGCTCATGGACTACCCCCTTGAAAAATTGTTTGAGTGATGTTTTTTAATTGGGTTTTAATAAGGCATCATATATTTTGGAAAACTGGGCATTTCTGAGAATTTCAAATGAAAGAAACTAAGAAAGTAATTAATTAAAAGAAAAAAACTTTAGCAAAGGAAAAGGTAAAGGAAATGATTGAAAAAAATCAAAAAATCATGACCTCAGGAAAGCAGCTGGACACAATAGTGTACCCTCCAAACAAACCACACTATTATGTATCAGGGTTGCTCATGGACTACCCCCTTGAAAAATTGTTTGAGTGATGTTTTTTAATTGGGTTTTAATAAGGCATCATATATTTTGGAAAACTGGGCATTTCTGAGAATTTCAAATGAAAGAAACTAAGAAAGTAATTAAGTAATTAAAAGAAAAAACTTTAGCAAAGGAAAAGGTAAAGGAAATGATTGAAAAAATCAAAAAATCATGACCTCAGGAAAGCAGCTGGACACAATAGTGTACCCTCCAAACAAACCAGGCTATTGTGTACCTGGATGTAATTTTCTGTGGAAGGCATCTGGAAAATTTCAATGATGGAAAATACAAAGTAAAAGAAAAAAGCTTTAAAAAATGAAAAAATGAAAAATGTTTGAACAAACAGAAACAAGACCAAGACACAATTGTGTATCCTGACACAATTTTAAAAAACAATTTAAAAAAATATAATTAAAAATAAAAATAATTAAGTTAAAAATTATTTTAATTAAAAATAAAAATAAAAAATAATTTAAAATAAAATAAAAAATAATTAAATTAAAAATTATTATAATTAAAAATTAAAATAAAAAATAATTTAAAATCAAATAAACAATAATTAAATTAAAATTATTATAATTAAAAATAAAAATAAAAAATAATTTAAAATAAAATAAAAAATAATTAAAAATAAACATTACTATCATTAAAAATAAAAATAAAAAAAACAATTAAAAACTGAAAAACAAAAAAAAGAAAAAAAACTTACACCAAAATCCTGTGGACACAAAACTGTACCCCTCGATCATTTCCAAAGTTACAAAATAATTTTGGAGTCTGTGGACACAATTCTGTATCCCCACACTAATCTGTATCCCACATTAAGGCGAAGAAGACCAAGAAGGCAGATGATGAAGAAGGAGGAGATGAGCAGACAAAGGCGAGTGGCTCTAAGCGGAAGAAGGCCAAGAAGGCAGATGAGGAGGAGGAAGAAGAAGATGAGAAGACGCCGACTAGTAGCTCTAAGGCGAAGAAGACAAGGAAGAAAGATGAGGAGGAAGAAGGAGGAGATGAGCAGACGAAGCCTAGTAGCTCTAAGGCGAAGAAGACCAAGAAGGCAGATGATGAAGAAGAAGGAGAAGATGAGCAGACGAAGCCTAGTGGCTCCAAGGCGAAGAAGGCCAAGAAGGCAAATGAGGAGGAAGAAGGAGGAGATGAGCCACAGACCACCCCTGGAACAATTTTAAAGAAGGCTCGGAAGGCAGGTGAAGAGGAAGAAGAAGATAAGGAGACAAACCAGAAAGGCCGTGGAGTGTCGAGGAGGATCAGCTTTGAGGACGACAGCGTGGAGGAGAAAGGTAAGGGAAAGGGAAATAGAAAAGATACCCAGAAGGGAAAAGGCGACCAACTTGCCTTAGAAGATCTCAGTGCTGTGAAACGCACACCAAGGGTGAATGGAGCCGAGCCAAAAGGTTCTAGCAAAGGCCTGAGGGTTTGGGGAAGCTGAATTCTGGGATGTTTTTTCTCATATATATATACATATGCCTATTTCACTGATGGTTTCTTTCGCAGGACTTGGATGCTCCTGCCACCATGAGCTACGTCATCTCTGTGCGATTGTACGGGGATGGCGCTGATGCATACAGTCCAAAACTCATTACATGCCACAACTTGTTGAAAAACAGGAAACTAACCGGAAGCTGACTAAGGCCACCAATCCTTCGAACTTCTTTCCCTACTTCCACAGTGCTCAGTCCATTTTCATCGTCTGTAGACAATCGAATTGTGTCCCGAGCCAAGGTTCATTCGCTGTAGCTCCCAAGAATGCATACATCCCCAGATCTCGCACTGCTACCTGAGGTTGAGCTTGAGAAACGTTGCTCCATCCCAGGAGGCCAGGGGCTTTCTATATATGTATACAGTATATGCACTGATTTGTTTGCGAAATAATGCGACAGAGATCATACCACAACTGGAAAGGACCCGAAAACCAGCAAGAGATCCAGAACCACGATCATGGAGCTGATCCTATGGTCTATGAAAGCTCTCTGCACCATGGACATGAGTTAGTTGATATTAAAGCATCCCATATGTATATATATATATTATAGATATATTATGTATAATATATATGTATGTATAATATATCATATATATATATATGTATAATATATTATAGATATGTGTGTGTGTACCTTTTGAGTGAGACAACATTGTCAAAAAAAATCTGGACCTGAGAGAAGTTGATTGCCCATTGGATTGTCCTAGGCAAAGGAGTGTGGCCTGAGACCGATGCTTGGGGTCAAACATTTGGCCCATGCGCCCCGAAACACTGGAGAGAGAAAGCAGGCCAACAGATTTGTGGTCCTTTTCGGGCCGTTGTGGACGGCTTCCATGGGGACCAAGACTTCATGCACAAACTCTTTGAATTCAAAAGATTTTTGACTGCAATCAAGTTCTTAACCATGCACGGTGATCTCACTGTGCGATGATCTTTTATCAAGTTCAAGTTGCCCGCTTTCTGCCAAAGGAAGCTGGCACAGCAAGCGTCGCAAATGTTGCCCATTTTGCGAGGCGCGGTCCCACATTCTGCGTATCAAAGTTTGGAAAGTTTAAAGTTCCAAGTGACAACAATAGACTACCATTCATTTACTCATTCATCCATGTCTTGCTGGAGGCTGTGACTTCAGTGGTGCCTGGTGAGGATCCCTCTATGGTCTATACTGCAATGGGCCAATTTGCGCAGCATCGGCAAACGAATCTTGATTATTCTCATGAACGGCATTTTTAGTTTTATAGTTGTTCCCGACAAAGTTTGTTGGAAGTGACAGCGTATAGCATGTTTTGCTAGCTTTGAGGTTGGTTCAAAATGCTGATGAATGGATTCAGATTCATGTGGCTACTCCGTGGACCCAAATCCCAGCTTTTGACCCGTGGCGAATTTACCCTGATGTGCTACACGTGCTTGACCTAGCAATCAGCCCTGATAGCATTGCATCTTTCTTGCTGTTTGCAACTGCAGCTTCTGGAAACAGAGACCATGCCCTGAGCCAAATTCGTCGACGCTACTTCCAATGGGCATCCGACATGAAACTGGACGCTGGGTATTTGGCCAACCCAAAGCTATTCACACAAAAGATTTTGCAGCCATCATCAACAACTTACCCAGCTGTTTCGCAAAAGTTTTTAAAAGGGGCAGCAGCCCGGATGATGTGCTACTTTATTTGTGGCATGGCCTGTGAAAGAGCTTCCGGTTCAGATGACTTGGTAGACAAGTTCCTGTGCTGAATGTTTCCCTGTTTATTCGAAACTGGAACCATTTCTCCTAATATCGAATACCCCCGGGAAAGTATTATGTGGAGTTGGATCTGGGGCTTGTCTTGTTGGCTATTTTCAGCTATTGGTATTTTCCACTGTCTTCTTAGCTGTCCGAAACAAAAAACATACAGTATATATACCAGTTCTTGTGTCGGTTTAGATTTTCCAATTTGGGATATAGCTACCTACCCAAGATGAAAACACGAAAAGTGAAACTACAAGGTACATGGCAAACCTTTTCCTGGGGCTTACTGGCTATTACACCCTCTTGGCCGAGAACTCGTCAGAACCTTATTTACTGTACATGCCAAAATGAATATATATATATAGATATATATATATATATAACCGAGAGCCACTGAAGGCGCTGGTGGGCAAGTGCGCTGGCAAGGACTCACCCGAACCACCCACTGAATGAGCTGGCACTGTGCTACAGCACTTTGAGAAGCTCGTACAATTGTGGCTGGGTGTCAGAAAGGGAGAAAGAAATAACACCTGCATACTCTTGAAAGCTTCACCTGATTTGTGTTAGCTCAGGGCTTGCAGACTTCTGCTTGGAACATGCTATTCTTCGATTTGAGCTTCGACCAAAGCAGCATCTCCTTGAGCATATGACGCTTTGCCTAATTCCTTTAGTTCGCGCAGCGAGACGACGCGTATAGGGAGTCTATACCTCCCAAGCTACACCTTTAAAGAAAAAGCGATCCATGAGGAAACACCATTACACTTTGAACAGACATAAACTGAAGCAACGACCAAGGACACTAGATTTTTCCCCTCTGCGGGGAAATCCGAAGCACTACAGTTGCCATCTTGACGAGACAATGATTGGAATCTGTAAGAATTTTGTCGGCATTACGGTGGCATAGCCAGCTTTGATGGTACCAGCCAAGTTCTTGTTGGGCTCACTCAGGAAGATTGTGGAGCATACCCGTGCAAGCACTTTTGGGCTTCAAGCTTTGCAACATTACTGTTGCATGGTGTGCCTACGGTGGCACGGCGAGAGAGCGCTACACCAGTGAAGATCACTGAAAAAATGCGTTTTTGCGAGGGATGCGGCATCCCGTGCATGCGATTATATAAACCTGTTTTATTTTTTTGTGGCTGAACTTTGAAACGTTTCTAGTGGGTGGGTGGGAGGGAGCGGAAGTTTCCATGGTCTTTGGCTCAAGCACGCAACGCATGGCAAGGTGCAGTGGAATATGTGGTGGCAGTGCCACTTCTTCTCCAACATTTGCAGGCTCAAGCATGCAACTTTCCAAGGTGCAGCGGAGTGCGGTGGCAGTGCCGCTGCTTCTCCAACGTTGTTTGCAGGCTCAAGCATGCAACATTCCAAGGAGCGGAGTGTGGTGGCAGTGCCGCTGCTTCTCCAGCGTTGTTTGCAGTCTCAAGCATGCAGCATTCCAAGGTGTAGCGGGATGCAGTGGCAGTACCGCAGCTTCCCCAATGTTCGTAGTAATTTTGTTTGTTCCGCACTGACCCCTGTTATGCCCTGAGACAACGGGTGGTAGAAGGCCAAATTCGTTTATAAGGTACCTGGGGCTATAATTCGTTTATAAGTTCTTTCAACCTCTCCTGGGAGGTTCAATCGCCAAAAACTGAGGTAAAATTGCGATTTCAAGGGGTCCCGCGCAACTCTTTCACACGAAATGAGGTTCGATCGTCAAAAACTGAGGTATAAAATTGCGATTCCAACTTGTCCGGCGCAACCCTTTCGCGCGAAATGAGGTTCGACCGCCAAAAACTGAAGTGAAATTGTAATTTTTCTTGTCCAATCGCGACCCTTTCGCATGAGATGAGGTTCAATCGCCCAAAATTGAAGCAAATTGCGATTTCCTGTGTGTAAAAGCGTCTGTGTGTAAACGCGTCTGTGTGTAAAAGCGTCTGTGTGTAAAAGCGTCTGTGTGTAAACGCGTCTGTGTGTAAAAGCGTCTGTGTGTAAAAGCGTCTGTGTGTAAAAGCGTCTGTGTTTAAAAGTGTTGCGTCTGTGTGTAAAAGCTTTTGTGTGCAAAAGTGTCTGTGTGTCAAAGTGTTTGTGTGTAAAAGCGTCTGTGTGTAAAAGCGTCTGTGTGTAAAAGCGTCTGTGTGTAAAAGCTGTTGTGTGTAAAAGCTGTTGTGTGTAAAAGCTGTTGTGTGTAAAACGGTCTCTGTGTGTAAAAGTGTTTGTGTGTAAAAGTGATTGTGTGTAAAAGCGCTTGTGTGTAAAACCGTCTGTGTGTAAAATTGTCTGTGTGTAAAAGTGTTTCTGTGTAAAAGTGTTTGTGTGTAAAACCGTCTGTGTGTAAAAGCATCTGTGTGTAAAAGCTTCTGTGTGTAAAAGCTTTTGTGTGTAAAAGCTTCTGTGTGTAAAAGCGTCTGTGTGTAAAAGCGTTTGTGTGTAAAAGCTTCTGTGTGTAAAAGCGTCTGCGTGTAAAAGCTTCTGTGTGTAAAAGCGTCTGTGTGTAAAAGTGTTTGTGTGTAAAAGTGTTTGTGTGTAAAAGTGTCTGTGTGTAAAAGCGTCTATGTGTAAAAGCTTCTGTGTGTAAAAGCTTCTGTGTCTAAAAGCGTCTGCGTGTAAACGCTTCTGTGTGTAAAAGCTCCTGTGTGCAAAAGGGTCTGGGTGTAAAAGCTTCTGTGTGTAAAAGCGTCTGTGTGTAAAAGCGTCTGTGTGTATAAGCGTCTGTTTAAAAGCGTCTGTGTGTAAAAGCTTCTGTCTGTAAAAGCTTCTGTGGGTAAAAGCTTTGTGTGTAAAAGCGTCTGTGTAAAAAGCAACAGTGTGTAAAAGCGTCTGTGTGTAAAACTGTCTGTATGTAAAAGCGCCTGTGTGTAAAAGTGTCTGTGTGTAAAAGTGCCTTGTGTGTAAAAGTGTCTGTGTGTAGAAGCTTCTGTGAGTAAAAGCTTCTCTGTGTAAAAGCTTCTCTGTGTAAGGGGTTCTCTGTGTAAAAGCTTGCTCTGTGTAAAAGCTTCTGTGTGTAAAAGTGTTTGCAATGCAAACTATTGTCTTGTACTTGTGCTATATTGTCTTGATGCTCCTCTTCTCGACTGCCTATAACACATCTTTAATATATTGTTTTGTAATATGGTGTCTCCATACTAACAAGAGCGTCTGAGCGGAGGGTTCTTCCAATAGTGGGGGTCTGTATCTCATGTTCTCATCTTCACATTTTCTCATCTTCACATCTGCATCTCATCTTCTCATCTTCACATCTTCTCATCTTCACATCTTCTCATCTTCACATCTTCTCATCTTCACATCTTCTCATCTTCTCTTCACATCTTCTCATTTTCACATTTTCTCATCATCTTCACATATTCACATCTTCACATATTCACATCCTCACATCTTCACATCTTCTCATCTTCACATATGCACATCTTCACATCTTCTCATCTTCACACATGCACATCTTCATATCTTCTCATCTTCACATCTTCTCTTTACATCTTCACATCTTCACATCTTCTCATCCTCACATCTTCACATCTTCACATCCTCACATCTTCACACCCTCACATCTTCACATCTTCTCCTCTTGCCTTCTTGCCCTCTTGCCCTCTTGCCCTCACATCTTCGCATCTTCTCCTCTTCTCCTCTTGTCCTCTTGCCCTATCCTTCTTTTCTATTTCTCTTCTGAAGGCGGGGGCAGGGGCAGTGCCAACGAGACGGCACGAAACGCAACCCTTTCGCACGAAATGAGGTTCGATCGCAAAAACTGAGGTATAAAATTGCGATTTCAAGTTTCGATCGCCGCGATTTCAAGTTGTCCCGCGCAACCCTTTTGCACGAAATGATGCTCGATCGCCAAAAACTGAGGTAAAATTGGAATTTCAACTTGTCCCGCACAACCTTTTCGCACGAAATGAGGTTCGATCGCGAAAACCTGACGTAAAATTGCGATTCTAACTTGTCCCGCGCAACCTTTTCGCACGAAATGAGGTTCGATCGTCAAAAACTGAGGTAAAATTGCGACTCCAAGTCGCCCCGCGCAACCCTTTCACACGAAATGAGGTTCGATCGCCAAAAACCGAAGTAAAATTGCGACTCCAAGTTGTCCCGCGCAACCCTTTCGCACGAAATGAGGTTCGATCGCCAAAAACCGAAGTAAAATTGCGATTCCAAGTTGTCCTGCGCAACCCTTTCACACGAAATGAGGTTCGATCGCCAAAAACCGAAGTAAAATTGCGATTCCAAGTTGTCCTGCGCAACCCTTTCACACGAAATGAGGTTCGATCGCCAAAAACCGAAGTAAAATTGCGATTCCAAGTCGTCCCGCGCAACCCTTTCGCACGAAATGAGGTTCGATCGCCAAAAACTGAGGTAAAATTGCGACTCCAAGTCGTCCCGCGCAACCCTTTCGCACGAAATGAGGTTCGATCGCCAAAAACTGGGGTAAAATTGCGATTTCAAGTCGTCCCTCTTGTCCCGCGAACCCTTTCGCATGTGAGCATGGGCCGGCCTGTGTGTAAAAATTTTGTGTGTAAAAGTGTTTGTATGTAAAAGTGTTAGTGTGTAAAAGCGTCTGTGTGTAAAAGCTTTTGTGTGGAAAAGCTGCGTGTAAAAGTTTTTGTGTGTAAAAGCGTCTGTGTGTAAAAGCGTCTGTGTGTAAAAGCGTCTGTGTGTAAAAGCATCTGTGTGTAGAAGCGTCTGTGCGTAAAAGCTTCTTTGTGTAAAAGCGTCTGTGTGTAAAAGCTTCTTTGTGTAAAAGGGTCTGTATGTAAAAGCTTCTGTGTGTAAAAGGGTCTGTGTGTAAAAGCTTCTGTGTGTAAAAGCGTCTGTGTGTAAAAGTCTCTGTGTGTAAAACGATTTCTGTGTCAAAGCGTCTGTGTGTAAAAGCTGTTGTGTGTAAAAGCTGTTGTGCGTACAAGCTGTTGTGTGTAAAAGCTGTTGTGTGTAAAACTGTCTCTGTGTGTAAAAGTGTTTGTGTGAAAAAGTGTTTGTGTGTAAAAGCTTTTGTGTGTAAAAGCTGTTGAGTGTAAAAGCTGTTGTGTGT